AGTAATTTTCAGCTGATTTGTTGATTCCACTTTGACCAAGTTTTACTCGGTTAGAAGATATATTATTGTGTTTCCAGTAAAAAGAATCGAATTTTCAGTATGTATGTGACTGTTTACTTTGTGCACTCTGTGTAGGCTAGGATGACTTATTATGTATATACGAGTATAAAAGGATTCATTGAATTATGTGTTTTCGTCTTGGATCAAATTAATTTTCTTTTTCTTTTACGATTTATCAGAAAAAAAAGGCTCTAGTTCTAGCTTTTACATTGGAGGTTGTTCATTTCGAAATGTTTATCGTGGCATGCCTCTCTTCTTTCTCTCCTTTTCATGTGAATTCTCGGTTTGACGAAAAAAGAGAAATTTTTTGATTTTTTTATAAATATTTTGGGTATGGAGAAAAAAAGTTGAACTATAAAAACTCTTACAAGGGTTGTCGCTATATATGTCTTGTCAGATATAGTTTATTAATCTATAAGATATTTCGTAGAATCGATGAGCTTTACTAAATTCGTAGTTCCACTAATCCAACCAAAACCAAGGTGGCTACAGTGATCGATAACCTTTGATCGCTCAAAATGACATATGTTCTCCTATGAAATAAAAATTTTAAAAAATAATATATCATAATACAAAGCGCGATGAAATTTATTGAATGCAATGTCTATTTATATGGGTTAGAGGAGAAGATTTTTGTCAATTGATCAGTGAGATTTCTTCGTGTAATTGAGAAAATCTTATCTGCTATCATGCCCCCTCAAGATTGAGTTCCTATCAAGGATGTCGATATTAAACCGATACAATAAAAATAGTTTGCTGGTAAGAGGCTTTGTGAGTGAGTCTGCTAGTTGATCAGTTATATATATATATATATATATATATATATATATATATATATGAGAAATGCATAGTTCATGTTTGACAACTTGATCTCGTAAGAAATGGAAGTTGATGACATTGCGTTTCATGCGTGAATAGAGCACTGGATTAGCGCATAGATAGGTAGCTCTAATATTATTATAATATATTATAGGAATAAGGGTGGAATTGATGTTAAGTTTTTTTAGCAGATTCGTGACCCAATTGAGTTATGCAGCAGCGATGACGATGACACGGTATTCATCTTTAGTTGTAGACTGTGTAACTATCTTTTGTTTCTTATAACTCCAACTGATTGGATTAGCTCCAAGGAAGACAATATACCATGACGTTGATATTCTATCATCAAAGTTTCCCACGAGTAGATGGCGGTGCAAGGGCAAACAACATAGCCGTTTATTGAGGGCAGCAAGAGGGTTGTCAATGTTGGTGACGCTGTATACCTCCGAGGATAAGACAGTGAGTGCTCGCTCTGCTATTGTGCAACCACCAAGAGGAGATAGCAGGCGCTTCGTCGATATCTCTTGTAGCTCCTATCGTTGAGGGTGATGAATGAAGAAAGGCATAGTAGTTTATTGAATATAATATCTATTTATAGGAGAAGAATTTTCTCAATTGGTTAGTAAGATTTTCGTGTGTAATTGAAAAAATCTTCTTTCACATACGTAAATATAGTAAAAATATTAAAGAATCGCAACATGTAGCTAAGAAGAGTAATTTTCAATTTGTATGCTGACGAGGGAGGGATACCGAATGGGATTCATGTTTGTGTTGTTGTGGAAGAGTCTTAAGCCAGAAATTAGCGTAGGATACTTGTTGAAATAATTATCACTAGAGATTAAGTACTTGATCTCAAATTTGCATATTTCGGTGGTCACTAGGCTTCGAAATAAATATAAGAAATTAATACAAATATCATATTTAAACCTATTTGGCCTACTTAAAATGGAATAAGACGTACATTTAATTTAATTGAAATTGGGATGGATACGGTTGGGCAAAAGTGTCTGATCGGGACAAATTTAGGTGGTAAGATTCACAATAATGCTGTCGGACGCATGGCCATTGCTATCTCTACCTACAGCAGACAACGGACGCCGCAGCACTGCAACCGGAAGGGGACAAAGATCCCAGTCGCCTTTAGCCATCATCAAACTTTCCCCTTCCCTCCTGCGTGCTGTGCTGTTATCTTCTCATCTCCCTCGTTGTCCCTCTCGGTTGCCGTCGGTGGTGGTGTTGTTGTTGACCCCTCTCGCAGCTTCGCCTCAGCCGGAACGCCCCACGCCAAACAACATCACATGCATGCCTCTTTCTCATCTTCTTCCTCCCTCTTCCGGAGACGGACAGCTCAACCCACCGCCCTCTGCAACGTGTACTCATTGCCCATGTGATTCAATATCATCATCCTACGCTTTTTTACGAGAGAGAGAGAGGGAGAGAGAGAGAGAGAGAGACGGGGTAATGGCGTGGGCGAAGAATTTTGATGTGGAGAAGTGGGGATGAGAGCCGTACCGACGTAGGCCTGTAATGAAGCAGAGCATAGGGTAAAAAGGAAGCTGGCCAAAAAGAATGATCCAATAAATTTTAGTAGCTATGGCTGCTGCAACAGCCGTGGGAATCTGGTTCTATGATTGTTACTGTTGCTCTTAACTTTTGACATCAAGCGTGGTGTATGCATCGGAGATGCCAAAGAGAAGGTACGCATTTCAGACCATTCTTAGCTACGTTATCCTTTGCGTGTTTAGATGCCACGTATCAATTAAGTGATGAATGATCACAGTGAGGATGCCCCTGTCTTCTTCAAGTCTTAAGATCTACAGGGCGGCGAGGCAAAGAAAGCGACGGTACGCTTTCGAGTGAAGCAACTCGTGGCAACCCATCTCCGACCGTAGCAAAGGTCGTTGGATTTTTGGCACTCGGAGATTACCGTCCAAGAAAAAGAATCGGTTGATTTCTTTAGTTGAGATCAAAACAAAAATGTCGCGTGAGATGACAACTTAAAGGCTGCACGTCTGGGAAGCTGCAAGGAATCTTTGATGATTGCTAGATTTCACGAACAATAATATAGATTTGGAAAGCGGAGGAGGAGGAAGAAAAAGGAGATAAAAAGAAGGGCACGATTGTCAACCTTCGGAGAGGCCATCATCAGCCTGTCCATGGCCTCGTGTCACCGTCCTGAGGAGATGCCCGATATGCCCTTGTCTGCCGCAAGCCATTCCAAGGGGTGTGTGTGATTAAAATAATGGCGTGATGGGAGTATAAATGATCTTCGTTCCTGGAATGTCGCTGCCTGGCTATAGAACTAAAGTCCGCAGCAATTTATTACTTGGTTACGGTACTGACTCGAGGTGGAAGAAGGAAGGAGAGGGAGAGAGAGAGAGAGAAGTAACAGCATGGGTGGGGGTGGGAGAGGTCATGTGTCTTTTGGCAAAGCAATAAAGGAGTGAGAAAAACCAAAAGCTGCGTCGCTGTCGAGGCTCGAAAGCATGGTGAGAAGATTTTGTGGCTTTGCTCGTCTTTCCCACAGGAGCTGCTGCTGCTGTTGATGCCGGTGTCGGAGTGGGCCGCGAGTTCACCGTGATCTTTTAATCTCTGACGCGACGCTTTAGTGTCCTTGCCGAGGAGCCCTCACTTGAGTGAGTCTCCCTTTCTTTCTCCCTTCGAACCCCTCTCCCACAGTAGTTCCCGGTAGGCCCATGCCCAAAGCAAAGAGTACCTCATCTTTCTCTTCTCGCTGTCTCTTCTTTCTTTCCAACTAAAACTTAAGCTCTCTTTGCCAATCTATGACTCCTTGTCCTTGTTCTGCTTCCGGCCTGCTCCCGTCCTGTGCTTATCCTCTTCTTGGGAAAGTGTGATGGTTTAGATCTGGCTCCTTTTAGGGTTTTTAACCCAACGAAAAGATCGAGTTGGGTTTCCTCGGATTACCTTGCGAGCGAAGGTAAGTGGCATTTACCTTTGCCTCTCTCGCTCTATATCCGTCCCGTTGTTCGATCTTGTCCCTGATTCACTGTCGACAGTGGTGTGTGGTTGGTGGTGGACTGAGAGCTCGAGTTGTGGCGTAGGTGATGGAATTCTGGGACTTGGACGGCCAAGCCTTTCCGAAGAGGAAGCAGGAGAGGCACGATCACTGTCATCAGCACCAGTACCACCACGTGCTACCAGACCAACGCCAACAGGAGCAGCAGCAGTGAGAGCAAGAGGCCAAGAGAAATTGCACCCACTGATGACAACAGATTGAGCAATCTGAAGTCGGAAGTGGAGCGGAAGAGGGACAAGACGTTGGATGCCCGGAGGAGTCGATACCATCGATTACAACGTCGTTCGAGAGAAAGCGAAAGAGGAGGAGAACAACAAGTGCACTGCGAATCAGCTACCTGCAGTAGCGGCAGAAGAGCAAGCAAGCTTCCGAAGGTTTCTAACTGTGTCACATCTTCCACCACCGTGTCTTCCTCCTTATCGGCTGCCACGGCTTCGTCTTCCGAGTATGCCCATCGTTCGGAGAGGATGGGGGAGAGCCAAAGCCACCGTGGAGGCCTCGGTTTCCACCAGCTCGCTCAGCAGCAGCAGCAGCAGGAGCAGGAGCAGGAGCAGCCACAGCAGCAGGCGCAGGTCCACTCGAGGTTTAGAAGGCTGAGGGGCGTCGGCGGGGAGATTGTGGAGGTACAAGGTGGCCACATTTTGAGGTCCACCGGCCGGAAGGACCGCCACAGCAAGGTGTGCACGGCCAAGGGCCCCCGAGACCGCCGCGTCCGCCTCTCAGCCCACACCGCCATTCAGTTCTACGACGTCCAGGACCGCCTTGGCTACGATCGTCCAAGCAAAGCCGTCGATTGGCTCATCAAGAACGCCAAGGTCGCCATCGACCAGCTCGCGGTGCTCCCAGCCTGGACTCCCACTGCCACCGTCACCGCCACCAGCAAATCTACTTTCCATCATCCTCCACCAGCCAACCGATCCCCGGCTGCAGAGCAGCCTTCTGGGCAGTCCGGCAAGAAACCAGTTCCGGTTGCTGAACCAGATGTCACCACTGCCTTCAGCTTCGGTGATAGCGTCGGCGGTGCTGGGAGTAATAGTTTCCTCCCGCTTTCATTGGACTCCGATGCTATTGCCAATACCATCAAGTCCTTCCTCCCGATGGCTGCTGGTGCCACCTCTACTTCGCCGTCCTCTAGCTCTCCAATTGGCTTCCAGAACTACCGGCCGGACTTTCTATGTCTAACCAGTAGCCAAAATCAAGACCTCCGCCTCTCCCTTCAATCCTTCCAAGATCCAATCTTTCACCACTCCAAGTCCAGCCACCACCACCATTACCAACACCAACACCAGAGTCCAACTTCTTCCTCTCACAATTCTCTACTCGCTGGCTCCACCCACTTGGGCTTTGACACCGCCTCGGCTGGCTGGGCCGAGCAGAACCGCCGAACGATTCCATGGAACGTGGCGGAGACGAATAGAGGCGGCGGCTTCGGAGGATTTGCTTTCAGCGCTCCACCACCGCAGGCTTTGCCGCTGCACTCGGTGCTTGGCCCGAGCCAGTATTTCTCTCAGAGGGAACCCCTTCAGTCCAGTAACTCGGCTTCAGTCCATGGTTGGGCAGAAGCCATTGCGCCCACCGGTGAGCACCAGATGCACCCCGTGTTCCATCCGTCGGTTTCTTCCACTGGGTTCGCGTCGGAAACCGGCTTCTCTGGTTTGGGCATCCCGGCACGGATACAGGGCGACGAGGATCACGGGAGCATCTCCAACAAGCTGCCCTCTGCTTCTCGCCATTGATGGAGTGGAAGCAGAGGAGTAAACCACCTCCGATTACTTCACTTGTTCCACCCTCAAAATTTCTCTCTGTCATCGTTACTCGTAGGACTGCTTGGTTTGTGTTGGGGGGTGGGGAGTGAAGACTAGGAAATCCATGTCGGATCCTCTCTTCTCTCTGTCCCTTGGTTTTGCTTCAGATGGGCATCCAGGCCATTGATTGTTTTGCCATGGTTAGCCTCGGTTGCTGTTGTAGTCGTCGTTGTCATTGGAGTTGCTTCTTTTTGTGACGTTGTTTCCTTCTCGATATGGCGAAAACTGCTGCTGCATTTGCGTTGCTGTCATCCGGGAACGACCGAGAGATTTGTTCTGTGAAGTACGCAAGAATTAGGGGAAAACATAGAAGACAGTTAACGTTGAAGTCTAATGCAGTTTTAACGCAGACGAGGAGGTGAAAGGAAGCAGCACTACTGTGCTTGGAGGTAATGCAGTTTTAACGCAGACAAGGAGGTGAAAGGAAGCCGCACTGCTGTGCTTGGAAGTGTAGGAGGAGTAGACATGGCAACAACCTCGAGCAGCTAAAAGAGATGGATTTATAAACGAATTCATGATTGCCCATCTCCATAGCATTTGAGGATACTGAGGATAGGTCTTTTTCTCTGAACAGTGGCAGCCTTTTGCTTCAGCCACTTTTGTTATAATGCTCATCTTGGTGCTCGCGGTCACATTAGGGAAGAATCTAAATCAAAGTTGGTAGGAGAGATTGCACGACTGACAGTCGATCACTGTAACTTGCACAAAGCTGCTTAGTGGCTTTTTTATGCTTTTCTTCTTCTCTTTTGCGAAGCTGAGAGTCTCTCTCTCTCTCTCTCTCTCTCTCTCCCCCTCGTTTGATATCTTCTTTGAACTGCTGCTGCGCTGTGAGGAACCTTAGTGCATCGTCTTCTAAGGAATAGAATCACATCCTCGATAGGATCCTTCCTCTTTTGTACTCAAGAAGCTAAAATCCAGACATATGTATCGGAAAAGGTACATATAAATTCGAACATTATCTGCCCATAATTAAGCTACAACACTGTCGTCAAGTTCACTTGCTTGCAAGACAAAGCGTCACCTCACACCCTCAATTTGCTATCCATAGATGAGTTCAGCATCTCTCCCACAAACCTGACATATGGAACTTTCTTAACATATCTTGTGCCCTTCATCAGTGGATATATCACTTTGTTGATTTGCATCAAATCACTGGATGCGGTGGATTCTGTACTTCGACATTGCACCATTTATCTTCTCCGGAAGCGACTGTGTCTGCACAAATCCAAAGGAAGATGGCATCACATTGGAGCATCCCAAACCCACAAAATGTTATTGTGGGACCCCCAATTACGCACGTAAATGCTATTGACCGTACGTTACAGGCTCTTTGGGTGTCAAATGTGTGATGAACATGTTATGTGCAGATACTTCTTTTCATTTACGAACGTTAATTTCGTATATATTAATGGATTAGTAATCATAAAAATTATGTTTGTCCACTTTAAATTAGATTGTGCTATTTTGATGTGAAACTAATTGTCAAGAGATCTTTTTCTTAATTTAAAGTCGTAAAGAGTAAACGACGAAAGTGGGATTAGAACTCATAACTTTGGGTTATATAGTCTGATAAGGCATATTTTCGTCCCCAAATGAGTCACCCCCAATATCACACGCCACGTCTCAATCACTATCAGAATTTGACGTCACACGTCATCAAAACCCCATAACGCATGTCAAGCCAGGTTCCGTACCAAGACACTATACAACGCGATTATCCCAAGAGCTCGGGGCGGTACCGTCTGATGCCGTTCAGATATCCCCCTAAGACGTCAGCTCGTCAGAGAGACCGTCTCATCCCATGAGGGTCAACAACCACACTGAACTGAGGGTAATCGATCCCCACACAATGGTATAAAAAACCCTGGCCAGCATCCAACCAAAGGGAGAGATAGAAAAAAAAAAAAAAAATACTCCATTGACTTGCTCATCGGAGGGGCCAAAGTCGGGAAACACCCGACGAAGGCCATTTTGCAAGAAGGTGGTCACCCCCGAACAATGAGCGTCTCAACCCGGGAATTGCCATCTAGTGCATGAGGACACGCTACCATTCATCCCGGAATCGAAGAGACGTGTCTCATCACAAACGGCGTCTGGGTCGGCAGACCGAGGAACGCTGATCAACATCCTCTCACGAGGGCCCAATCGACCCCGCTAGCCTGACTCTTGCCTAAGTCGCTCCGAAACAGCCACACCCGAGCGGCGAGCGTCTCGACCAAAGAGATACCTTCCATCGCACAAGGGAGAGCAGTGAACCAGCCCAGATCCTGACCAGCATTCCTCCCCGAGGGCGCGGCCACCTCATCATCCTACTCACTCAGCAAGAAGCTCCCGATATCGACCCGCGGACCTAACCGTGCTGACTCATCAGCCACACGATACTTTTGTTCACTAACACAGTCAAAATATTTACCCAACAAATTAGCTAATTCAAGTCTAATAATTAGAGACTATATGTAATCTGCGAGCCCAAAAAAAATCCATAGTAAAAAAAATATAGGTTGACAATATAAGGTAAAGATGCAATCAGCCAAATGAACACGTGATACGATCAAACTTACAAATATTTACTGATGGAAATCGTTGAATCGCCAAAAAATATATAACTGCTATAAATAATTTGCTCATTCACATTTTGTTAAACTATATCAATATCACAAAGATTATTTTCAACTACATAAAAATTTTATATCCAAAATATCACAAATCTATAAATAAATATAGCTTATTTAGTCCTACAAAAGTTCAAATTTTCTTGTCTGATCATTATTATAGCCAATCGACTGTCATATAACAGGATACAATGATCGAGAAAGAAAGCTCAGACACTCTTAATGCAGATAACATTGTTGTGCTTCCTCTACCCTATTCAATTGCCATAGATATGATAACAAAGAAAGGAAGCTCTGATAGTTTTTCTACCCTCTTCGATGGACACGATAATTGAAAAAAAAAACCTTGATATTATTTTCATATATAATATCATCGTGCTAAGATTAAACTGGGGTCATGTTACTGGAAAGGAGAGACAAAGACAAATGAGACATGAAAACGAAGACAACCAAAAGAGGATGAAGGTAGTGAAGATTGGAGAGATGCGGTGGCAATTGATACGATGGAGAAAGGATAAAATTAATTTAAAATTTTTTTGGGAATAAAGATGGTGAAAATTTGTCAAAACCATTGGTTTATTCCGATAATTTATTTATTATAAAATAAAATTTAAACACATTTGGTCAAAAAAAAACCTTGATATTATTTTCATATATAATATCATCTTAAACTGAGTCATGTTACCGGAAAGGAGAAACAAAGACAAATGAGACATGAAAACGAAGACAACCAAAAGAGGATGAAGGTAGTGAAGATTGGAGAGCCACAGTGGCGGTTGATATGATGGAGAAAGGATAAAATTATTTTAAAATATTTTTGGGAATAAAGATGGTGAAAATTTGTCAAAACCATTGGTTTATTCCGACAATTTATTTATTATAAAATAAAATTTAAACACATTTGGTCCCAGCGGGGCTCGAACCCGCGACCTTCGGCTCATAAGACCAATGCTACTAACCAACTGAGCTACGGGACCGTCGATATATATTTTTGAAAAATAATTTTGACAGCTCATAAAGGTCTTCTTTCTATTTATATATATTGTAAAAAAGTATAATATATAGATTTCTCAGTTTTTTTTAATAAACACATATCTGGTCCCAGCGGGGCTCGAACCCGCGACCTTCGGCTCATAAGACCGATGCTACTAACCAACTGAGCTACGGGACCGTCGATATATATTTTTGAAAAATAATTTTGACAGCTCATAAAGGTCTTCTTTCTATTTATATATATAGCAAAAAAATATAATATATGAATTTTTCAGTTTTTTTAATTAAATATATATATGGTCCCAGCGGGGTTCGAACCCGCGACCTTCGGCTCATAAGACCGATGCTACTAACCAACTGAGCTACGAGACCATCGATGTATTTTTTTGAAGATAATTTTGACAACTCATAAAGGTCTGCTTTCTGTTTTTATATATATATATGTGTATATATATATATATACATGTATGCATATATATATATATACACATGTGTATATATATATATATATATATATATATATATATATATATATATATATATATATATATTGCAAAAGAGTAAAATATGTGGATTTCTCAGTTTTTATTTTCTTAAAATTAAACTTTGATTAACAATATCAAATATATTACAAAAACACCTCTAGAATGAGAGTGCATAAAAAAAATTCCAATAGAGAGGGCTATTTCCCTCTTCAAAAAAAAAATAATGATTTTAAGTTTTTAGCATGTCTAGACTGTCAGTTGATCATCTTATTCCCTTTCGAGAACACATCTTATAATCCCACCAATTTCATCGTAACTTTGTATTAGAGATAGATGAACAATCTATTGCATACTACCATCAGGTATTTTGGTTATTTCATATGCTAAAACTAATCCAATTACCACGCCCTCTATATTCACCATAATCCGATATAGAAAGGGCTTCCTCATCCTCATCCTCATCCTCATCCTCATCTTCATCTTCATCCTCATCCTAACAAGTCTATTTGCGAGAGGGAGGTGATGGTACAAAAGCTTCTAGCAAAATATCTTAATTCATGGTATTAAGGATAGCTTTCACAAACGATGCCACCAATCCCTCGATCGATTGAATTGCTCAGGTTAGAGAGGAGGAAAGAACAAGCAAATTTTGTTGTAACAATCATATTCACATCAGGAGATTCTCAAAACGAGCTCCTACCCCGAAATATCAATCAACCATCAAAGCTGATTTGACCACAGAAATGTCGACCAACATAGACAAACGTAGATGATGTAAAATGTCAACAAATTTCGTAAAATCACAGCGGAGTTTCTCGGTTAACTCCATGTAATCGCAGCACATACTCTCCCAGCCTATAAGACAAAGCATGCCTGCCATGCCCTTAACCTCGCGTTTGGACGTCAGATGGAGCACGGTGACACCTCCGTTTCTTGCCGCCACAAGAAGCCAACAAAAGGAACAGATAGGTTCTTCTCACGGAGGCGGTCATGAGGAAAAGCCTCGAACACCTTCCGCAGCTGACCGAGCCATCCCTCAGGAATGGAGAACGACAGCATGTCTTCCCTTGGAGCTTTGGTGAACTATGAGTTTCCAAATCATGACATTTGCATTCATTCATTCTTTTCCTGAGCATATTATTAGTGTATGAAGCCGTGTTCATTGCCACAATGGACCATACACTTGCTCCGTTAAGCTCTCCCCGCAGTAGTAGAAACCAGCGTAATCTCTGGCCTCTCCGTAACAAAGCGTAGTATCCTCTGCCTCCATATAATACCAATCGGGCAGCAGGTCATGGCAAGCCGAGTTGGCCACCGCGTCCATCTCGGCCCAATCAAATGGGTCTTCAACTTGATGCATCCCCGATCTCAACCCCTCGTGGCTATCCAGATCGGATAGTATGTCCTCCAAACCCCCGTCACTGGGCCCGGTGGTCGATTCCCCGTCGTCGATCATGACCACGTCGCCATGGCCGATCTCCGCTTCCAGAGATCGAATCACGCCGTAGAGCTGGTCCTCGTCGGCGCAGGACGACTCCAGCATCTCCATGAGAAGCGCGTCGTCGATATCAGGGACGTCGACCCCCTCGACGTCGAGTTCCTGCGCGGTGCACTTCCAGCTCTCACTTGAAACGGAAGCCATCATGCTCACCACCAGGAAGAAAAAAGCAAAAGCCGAAGCACACGGAGGTTGGAACTTCTGGTGACGATCGAGTCATGCTGCTGCTGACTTTATATAGCGCAGACTGGGACGTAATTTACATCGCTTCACCCCTACACTTTCTGCTCATACGCACCTAATATTCCTGATGAACTGTACGGAAAAGGTGGAAGAAAGATTAGTTGAAGCCACTAGAGTAGCATCGGTGGGATTGGACTTGGGAGCTGAGCACATGTGACTCGGCGGGGGTGGGGGGGGGCAAACAGCGGACAAGGGAAGACGGGGAAGCCATGGATAATACTGCATGATTGACCAAAGGAGCTGTCACCCATGGGAGAGAGGCATTAGACAAAACAGGATCTGGGCATTAAAGGAGGGCGTATGGTGGAAGGTTAGTGTTCGAGGCTTTGAGGATTTGGTTTGTGTGGCTGGCCATGTTCTGACTTCAAGAAAGGGCCATCGCGCACATGGCCATGTTGGTGAGTGCCCGTGTGCGGTTCCAACTTGGATTTGAATCCAAAAAAGTAGATCCAAAGATTTCTCTCTCTCTCTCTCTCTCTCTCTCTCTCCTTTTTCTTTTTGCTTGTAAATCCAACTAATATTGTTTGTGCTTCAGATCAACACTGCACACAAAAATGAATCCAGATGTGATGAGTATGATTCTTCTGGCCACATGGGAAACATGTTGACATTTTTTTACGCATTCTTCTTCACTTGATGCAAAATAATTTGATGCGAATTAAGATATGTGGCTTTATTAGCTGTAGTGGGTGCATGAAGCATCCACCGCACAATATGCATTCTCCCCTATCCCATCTCCGATGCCAAATGCCGTCAATCGGTATCGTGGGGTTGGGTTGCACAAAAAGAGAAGGTGGCCGTAAGTTCTCGGACATCAACTTAATAATGCTCGTGGTTGGAATCAAATCAAATCAAATCAAATGTTAGCGGCGGTGGGATTCCCGTCGACCGGTCTCGTCGGTGCTCCTCGTTCGAAAGTGTGATGGGTTGGCATTGGAGACCTAAATTACGCCTACTTGCTCGAATCATTGCTGTGGCTAAATCATTGTTGGATGCTGCTCGATTCTATTACAGCAAATTGGGTGTCTTGTCACGTAAAAAGTTAACAATGTGTGGTTTATTTCAAAGAAGATTTGGTACAGTTTAGATTATACGATAGATTAAAAGTTTTGAGTCAATGTCTTCAACAGATATATGGTTGTCTCCAAATAATATTGTCACGTAACACTTAGCAGGATGAAATAACCACTAAGAGATGAATCGCTGAATGGACTAAGGTCGATTCAGATCCAATCGATCCTAACAAAGCCATATAATGTCTATCCAATTTCTGTTCATTTATCAGTAGTTAATAATAATAATAATAATAATAATAATAATAATAATAATAATAATAATAATAATAATAATTTACAGAGGATGATCTATCTCATGAAAAGAACCTGAGCCATTTTACACTAAGTTTTGGATACAATTACTTCCATAGTAAAAGCAGAATGTGGTGCATCTCTTTCGAATTTAACTATGGTAGTAGTGCATTGAATTCATGATATGATAACACCTAATCCACTTAATCTTGTGCTGAGGTATCGATTATGTGATATTGAGATGTTAGCTATGTGATAATGAGGTGTCAGTTATGTAATAATGAGATATCGATCATGTGATACTGAGTTGTTAGTAATGTGATGATGAGATATCAACCATGTAGCGATGAGGTATCAACCACATGACGATGAGGTGTCGGAATGACTCTTATTGACCTACTAACACAAAAGTAGACTAAGGCCAATTAGGCTACGCATGTTGTTGAAATGTACTACTAGCCAATTTGATGTGTGCGTTGTCGAGATGCACCGAATTGCATGTGTTGCTTACACTAGATGATGGATTCAATCACACGTGTGGCTCTTTTTGCGACATAGTTTTCCTCTTAAGGTGTCATCGGTGCCTTTGCTTTCGAATAAGCACAAAGCACATCTCGATAACACGGATGATCGAATCAACCCAGAGCATGTCTCAATGACACATGTGGTGAAAGTGGCTCAAAATGTATCATAATGATACTTGTAGTAGAATTGGCCCAATATGCATCTCAACAACATACACATATGAATCGATCCAAAATATAATTTGATGACACTCACGGTTTCAACAACGCATAGGGTTAAAACGACCCAAAGTGCATCTTGATGACACATGTGGTCTAATCGGCCCAAACCACATCTCAATGACATGCATGACCAAATCAGTTTGACTTGCATCTCAACGATGAGCACAGTAGAATTGACCCAAAGCGTCGATTTAACTTGCATCTCATGAGTTGCATTAGTATCAATAGGCCAATAAGGGCTATCTTCTGACTCGATTTTACTATACTTAACAAGCCAAGAAATGGAAAGCAAGTAATATAAGGATAGACATGTGTCTGACACCTTAACGTCATATGGTTGATATAGTATCACACGACTGACACCACAGTACGAGACTAAGTAGACCAGATGTTATTATATCCCAAATTCAATATACCACGATTGTATTGAAGTCCAAAAGAAACACTATTTTTTCGGTGTGTTCTATAAGATAAACATCTCTTTCGAAAATATAAGTCAAATCCTCCGAATCTATACTAATTCAAGCAGATGCCCTCGACATAGTTTTACAAGTTCGGTAAACTAAAGTCGTGGACTAAAAACAAGTGCAGAAGAAGAATCCGACCAACTCTAAGTTAGCATTCGATTCAAACAATAAAAAAAATTAACTTAATTATTTTAATACATTATTTGAAGTAGATAAATTACCATATTATTTAGTCGGATGGGGCGCAAAACGATTGGGTTCCTCGATGAGCCATTTAATCAGCATAGATGTTTATTAGCTAGCTTTTATAATTATCGAATGGTAGACCCACGCGTAGCTATCGTTGTGTCTAAATTAAATTGGATGATTACTAAACTATGAAGAGTTCCTCCAATGAACACCTCAAACTTAGAAAATCACTATAAAAAACTACATAGAAACTTGTGACAACACCTCAAATTGGAACCCTTTATTAATAATAATAATATTATTTTTGTATCTTGCAAACAGTCCACAATGATAATGGTGCCTTGGTATTATTTTTAGCATGGTGTTCAGATTACATAAGTCGAACCCACATGACAAAGATGATTGGTATACGAAGCTTCGAATGCAATAAACATTCAAGATATCGTGCATTGGATGTGTTGAGCTTCTGCTCTTCCTTTCCTTATCTTACGATCAAAGGATATGTGATGGTATTAAAAGCAACAATGGATCCGAAGGAGTTGTTTGAGGTGGCATGTGAAAGCCAGCCTACCTTCGTCCAATTCACGGCTTTGGATCGATCTTCCCAACACGCTGACTTCCACGAAGGTCTCTTTAATATATGCTTGGCAAACCATCATCCTTGGTCATGAAGATACTATGCACATAATTTGATCGTACACTTCACTAAAAGAAAGAGCAAAAAGGTATTGGTCACATTTATAATGACGTGCTTGGAAGTGCATCTTGTACTCATTCGTAATAGCAACTTTGTGCTCTTAGCTAAACTATTCACAAGTTGAAATGTAGATCTAACGAAAAAGAAAGACATCTCTCGATGCACTCAACCGAAGAACAAAAAAAAAGGAGTAATCGTTACCACATAAAAAAGGGCAACCAAACATCATTACAATTATAATAATGGAATTTATTATGCTCTAATGAGCCTTCTAAGAGAGCGAGGGTCACTGGATTAAACTAAACATTGATTATTCTTTTTCTTAAGGAATATGATGTAAGATAATTTGGTCTTCTTTTCACAATCGATACTGGATTTTAGCGATCAAGTGGGGTTTCCCACATGTGATCCTTTCCAACTTTCGTCGTATCAAAGTTGAGATTTACGACGAACTTGAGTTATCAAAGTCTTTTATGGAGTTTCAAATTTTTTATATTTTTCTAAAGACGATTGATATGCCAAGTAGCTGACTAACTTTGTATTTTCTTTTCTTTCTTTTTTAAGTGCTGATGTTGTAATTGTCTAATTTCCTAATATAAAATAATTTTCTTTTCAAAATAAAAGAATACATATTTTTAAATATTATATTATATGGATCAGGAAAAAAAAAAAGATTCATCGTAATCGAAAATAGCTAGTGATATTCACGATTCGATTTTCTTTGATAGTATAAATAAATAAATAAAATGATGCCACTCATTCTCCTCTAAAATACTACAAAACTAATCCAATTATCAATGGCTCTCCGAAAAGAATATATATTAAGAGTATCAATTATCTTTTCAGTAAGAAAATGCAGGATACTTAAAAAAATGTTTCAACTTGCGGAAACATAAGAATTGGATATAAGCTTCATTTGTCCCTTCCATGAACGAAAGGTACTAAACGAAATCTATGGAAGATGCACTCCAAGTCCAATGCATACTCTATGATTCTGTATACAGTCCTTCCTAAATCATCTATCCCACTGTAACATTTCATCTCAACCATTCAATTTTTCTAAATCAATAATAAATATAAAAATTAAAAAAAAAACTTTTTCATCACTTTAAAGGTCTCTGTTAGTCTATCCGATATAAAATTTATCGTGAACTCAAATCTCATCTTATTACATCGTATTATTGCCAATAATTGCAACTGCCCACTCGAACTGCAACTATCGACATTAAGCCAAGCAAGTGCTATTATTATTTAGCTTAGGGAAATATATAGCAGAAAAAATGTGCCAACGCCGACATTGTTTGGGCTTTGAATTGTGATTCGCGGCAAACCAAGTGTTCCATGGCGGCAATGTCGAACACAAACGTATGCATCATATATATATATATATATATATATATATATCGATTGCACTCTTTTTATTTGCCAAGGGTACGTACATGGATATATACGAGCGTTGACCAAACAGAATGAGGAATCTAAAGCCCAATCAATAACGAACAGATGATACGCAGTTGGACGACCCAACGACCCAACGAACAATAAATTTCCTGTGGATTTGAGATATCAAGAAATACAGAAAAGAGAGGAGGAGGAGAAGAAGAAAATAAATAAATGGAGAGCGGACCACCCACCACCGGACACGAGGCACGAGGAGAAAAGGACGTGAGGAAACTGTGACAGCCAGCTCACGAGGAGGAAGAGGACGAAGGGGAGATGCGATCGCAGGTGCGCTTGGCGAGGTGGACGAGGCCGTCGTCCTTGGGGACGATGGTGGGGACGTAGGCGATGTCGTCGCAGCCCGGGGTTCGGTGGCGGCGGAAGTCGACGAGGGAGGTGAAGAGGGCGATGAAGAGGACGAGGTGGTTGATGGCGTAGCGCTGGCCCACGCACTGGTGGGGCCCGGCGCCGAAGGCCAGGAAGTGGCGCTTCTGCACCTCCCGGTCCTCCGAGAAGAACCGGTCCGGATCGAACCGCTCCGCCGCCGCGAACCCCTGGAACGACGACTCGTATGCCGACGGGAACACGATGGCCCCCTTGGGCACCGTGTACCAGTCCGTCAGAGGGAACGCCTCCCCCGCGATGTGGGGCACCATCGTCGCCGGTGGCCGGAACCGCACCACCTCCCGCGCCACAGCCTCCGTGTACCGCATCTCCCGCAGCTGCTCCGCGGTGATGGGCTGCCCGGACCAACTCGGCGTTCCTAGCACGGCCGCCACCTCCGCTCGAACCCGGGCCAGCACGTCCGGGTGCGCGTCGAGGAGCGTCACGGCCCACAGGAGCGACGACGTCGACGCGTCCTGCGCGGCGAAGAGGAAGTCGAACAGGTGGCCTCCGATCTCGACGTCGCCGGACTGTGGCGGCGGCTGGGCCCCGGAGGCCGCGGCCTCCTCGATCTCGCGCAGTGTGTCCTGCATCCAGAAGTCGACGAGGCAGGTGGGCTCGGCGCCGGTGCGCATCCGCTCCTTGCTCTGCGCGACGCAGCCGGAGAGGGTGCGGACGAGGCGGGACACGGCGAGACGGGCGCGGCGGAAGGCGAAGCCCGGGAGGTCGAAGGGGATGGCCATCAGACCCACGTTGAAGAGGTTATAGTCCCGGTTGAACTGCTGGCGGGCGGACGCGGTGAGGTACGGCCCCGCAAACACGGTCTGCGAGGTCTCGAGGTTGAGGTCACGGCAGAGGAGCCGAAGCGCGACGGGCTGCGACTTCGACGCTGACGCCTGGTCGAGCCATTTCTGCAGGTGAGTGATGATGACGCGCTGCTGGACGGCGACGTAGGTGGACAGGGCGCGGGGAGTGAAGTTGGGGGCGATGCGGCGGCGGAGCTCCTTGTGCTGCTCGTCGAACATGTAAATGAGGTTGTGGTCGCCGAAGAGCCTCTTGCCGAAGGGGTGGCCGATGAGGTGGAAGGCGTCGGGGCGTACGTTGGCGAAGACCTTGTGGGACAGCTCGGTGGAGCGGACGAAGACGATGAAGCGGCCGACGAGGAAGTTGGCGGAGACGCCGAGCCCGGAGGCGCGGGCGAGGGCGGCCTGCCGGTCCCAGAAGCGGGTGGGGTTCAGGATCATGGGAAGCGCGCTGCCGAGGAAGGGCACCACGAAGGTGGGGCCAGGAAGGGGCCCCTTCTTACGGAGGTAAGAGAGCTGCTCCAGTAGCACCACCAGGGCTACGGCGCAGAGAAGGTAAGGCCCGGCGGCGGCCACCGCGCTGATAATGCTCGCGCCGTCCAAACCAAACCACCCGGAGGAATCCATGTATGCCAGCCACGAACGAATGCTTGTCGTCGGAGGGGTTGGCGTCTGATGGATGGAATCTACGCGTGCATTCAGAGGGCGGCCATCATATTTTAAAGCCGCAGGTAGAAGAGGAGAGCGCAGAGGGGAATAGAGACGGGCGCCGGAAGACCCAATGAGCTTTTCCTCTGCATGTTTGGAAGTGACGGAGGACTGCCAGCAAGATCAATCATTCCCTTTTCTTATCTCTGGACCTTTCCCTCTCTCTTCTTCTCAATTCCTTCGTCTTCCCCTGTTTTTTATTTCACGTTTTTCTTCCTTCTTAATGTTCTTCTTACCGACAAGTCAGTCGTCATTCAGTAAATATATCATCTTCATCCAGTCAGCAAGCCTAGTGAAGGATGGAAGAGCTAATTAACGACAATACGCCGACAAATACAGTATCGTGCTTACGGCAATTTGGATGCCAAAGAGACTGTTTTGGTCGAAAACACGAGAATAAGACTGAAAATGGACAGAAGCAATAGATTTGCTTACGGCATGAGCATGGATGGCGGGTGGGAGGATCTACCCATTCGCCAATCCTAATTCCGTGCTTCGCGTGTCTCTCGTCTCTTTCTGGCCCGGGAATCAGGGGCAGAAATTGGTCCGCTACTTCTTGGCGAGCCAACATTTGTATGACTTTATTTCCTACATAAAATTGTGATCAGAATTCGAGTTTCTACACACAAATTATTGGCAGGTAAAAAGTTGAGGAAATGCACAATTCTTGCTTGTGAACAGATCAAATTAGCATAAATGCTAGAAGAGCTTGGGGGCTTATATATATATGGTACCATCAAATTGATCAATCAACAATGGTAAGATTTGGGACAACATGACGACTTTGTCACAAATAATAAAAGGAACCAACGTAATAATACATAAACAAGCCCGGCCAACAAAGCAAAGCGAAAATAGATGAAATGTACACGACCCTTCCATAAACAAAGGTTTAACAGTAGTTAGATGATGATATCATGGTGCTTTTTATTCAGGTGCATCTTCTATGATTTGTTTGATAGGAGGAACCAATAATTGGGTTTAGAGAATCATTTGACAGTACCTGAACTCATAATCCTCCTCTGTTGGTTGATCGGTGAGGTGGTGGCAGCCCCATCACAGCAACTGTTCTGACAATTGTGCGACACCTGCATACTATTAAGCAACCTCGCTGGCTAACACAATAAACAATGGCACAAAAGGATTATAAATTCCACCAAGTAAGCTAAATATTTAATCAGTGGAAAATGTTAAAATGGTCAAGTCACAGTTAGATGGATGATTAGATGACTTGGCTGCCCCACTCCCCACAAATGACTATTGGTTGATGGCTACGGCATCAATAGACTATCAGTTGTACAACCATTAGGATTTGGAAAAGAAATATATGTGTCTTATTTTGAAGAGAAAGCATCAAATAATTACGAGGCAGGCAAATTTAAGAAACACTAAATTGTATTTGATGAAAGAAAAAGAAAATCTGAGACATGAAGATCATAAATATGCAAATGATGATAAACATGATCAACAGTGCCCGAGATCAAGCTCCTCTTCACGTCCACTGCTTCCTTCCCCAAGTTCAATATCATCTTCCAAAGCCATGCTCCAATAAAATGAGAACTCTGGCCAATATTTACCAAATGTGCTATGGTTCACTTTTGGGCATCTTATCAACTTCTAAGAGACAAACATCACAATACAAATAATCACACAAGCACAACACTCCATCCTGAAAACTTCTTCATTAACATGGTAAGAAAATTTTCACTGGGAAAAGCATCGAGGAATACCACTGGATGAAAGCAAGTAGAATGACTGGACAGTCCTGACGAAAGGAAGCTAGGATTTGGATTTTCCAGCCTGCAGAGTTTGAATCTTCTGTTGTAATTGTAAGACCTGCAAAATAAATTGATACGATGTTAAAAAGGAAAGTAAGCAATCTAGAAGCTTCAGACAATACAAAGTCATAAATAATCTGAGATTGAGGGCAATTCTGAGAAAGCAAACACCATCAGTTTGGTTCAGCTTAATAAACTATGACTTAAAAACTAATGCCTCACAAGGGTGCTATTTTCACACGAGTTTCTTGACTTGCCTCACAATTCAATTAACACCTCTGTGTATCCCGATCGTTCAGTGTCTAGAAATGACTAAGACTTGCTTATGAACAGTTCAAGTAAACTTCAGGAGCCAATTTCTCCCGGAAGCATAAGAAGCTGACTTCAAAGTTGAAGCCCTCTTTCTTCGAGAAGAAGGTTTAGTGCAAACGCCAAACAAAAACCTGCATTGAAAACTTATACTACCAGGCAATTAGCAAAATATATAGTAAATATATATCAATGATCAAAGGCGTCATCTTGTTACAAATTATGAATAAGTATGTTTCCAGCAGCAGATCTGAGTTCCTTGCTTATCCAGCAAAATTATATACCAAGAAACAAGGAATCTCGACAAGGTATCTTCATCCAAGGGATCGTCTTAGAAGACATGCAAGATCTAATTAGCAGGTAACTTCAATATGCCCAGAGGTACCCTCTTCAGAATTTGTGGTTCAGAAGCTTTGCAGGAATCATTATTTCTGACAATTGGAATCATGACTCCTAATATTAGATTGGCAATTTCCATGAAGTACAGCACCAATTCATTTCTCTGTATCCTACAGAAAGAATTCAAAACTTTTCTGCTTCTCATATAATCTACTGATTGCATATGTTTGTTGAAGCCTGCTAGGCTCGCTTCAAGCTACATAACCCCGGATATGCCAACCCAAATGCTTCACTGTCATTCTTTGTCATCACCTTTACCACTGTAGGCTGTAGTTCTCAAGCTTTTTCTCAAGAAAATGAATGAAATGAAAAAAGGGACAAAAAGTAACTCCTGTATAGATGCACAACATATATGTTTCAGACAACAATGAAGATAACATTAAGCTGGATTTTGCACCGCCTAATTACAATCATCTAAAAGCATTAAGACCTGGCTGCATGGTTTTAAGAAGGCTGCATTAAAGACACTCATAACCCTAAAGCTTTCTTTAACCTAACTGAGTGCATGCCCCTGATCTATCCTCTGATTCTCGTAACTCTGTAAGTCCTCTTTATAAAAATTAATTATCTGATCTTAAAAATATCATGCCTCCATATATCTTCCAATCAAAACCCAGCGTACAAACCTTAATCAAACTTGTACATTTAGAGTCAGAATATACAATGTGGGATCTATACCAACATTATCCATTCCAAAATTAACTTCAAATTCCAAAGTGGCATTTGTTGCTCTTATGAGTTGCAATTAACAACCTTAAGAGTTATAACAACTTCACATTGATCAAAATTTTGACATCTGTGCTTCTTGTATATTTAAGGCTTTAGACCATAAATCTCTAAAGAATGCCTACCGAGTGAATGCTGGTATAATTTGATATTTGTCTTAATATTATCACAAGACTGATACCTAAATTTACTACTATACTCTTGGATTAAAAAGATTATTTGTAGCATATTACATAATGTCCATCCTTTACCCTTCTAGGCCAATGATAAGTAGTTGCTATTATGCTGATGGTACACATTAATGATATAACGCACTGACTCACAAGAGGCAAAAGTTCCTAAAATCTGCCCATGGATGGACTCTCCAGCCATTACTTTTATTTATAAACATTCTATTGCTAAATACAGTCCTTTGCTAGTATGTTTTATTCAAAAAGCATAAACTCAATTTTATGTTTTTCAAAAAGAAAAATATGGTTTCACTGTTTTCCAATTAACGCAACATAATCATCTAGATTATGTGTGAAATGGGAACATAGAAGACTAAATCAATTATCTCAAATAGTTTAAGAAACTGCATCATATTAACACCTTAGACAAAAGAAGCAGACATGTAGCAATAGAATGAGCTGATGCTTCTGAACTATCGCATCATAGTAACTCCTGAACAATTGTAAGCTACGCTTCTACAATTAGAATGAGCTCATAATTTACAATATTCTTAGGTGCTCATTTTCTATGAGGTTTTAAGTTATTCTGATGCGAGTAATATTGTATTTGTCAAGCAGAAGCAATAATCCCATCAACAACCTCCTCCAAGTAGAGAAAGTACATTTGTTAATGTAAATCAACTACAAGCACTACGAAACAAAAGATTTAGAGGGAATTGTCTCTAACCGATTCCTTCTTGCTGTTCTGCTTGTCTTCTGAATCCTGAAGTGTCCCATCGAGCCGCTTACTGACACCAACAACAAAAAGTAAGCAAGTCCAAATCTAACGATAATGAAACGATTCGGGAAAAAGAGAGTGAATCTCACAGTTCAACCGAGATGTATTCGATCCTTTTGCGCACGTTGGCGTTAGCCTCCGCTATATCCTGCTTCACGAGCACAGGTCCGATCAGCTTGTACACGTTGGAATTCTCATTCAATAGTTCCAATTCCTTACACCATCACCACCAATTCGATGTTTAAGCAAAACGACCAAAAACGAAACCCTCAGATGACCGAAGTAAAACAAAATACGATTGGGAAAAGGGAAAGAACACCGTGAGGACAAGCTCGTTCTCGCCGAGCTGGATGGTGTACTGCTTCCTGACTTGGTGATTCTTGGCGATGTCTGCAGCGGAGAATGGAAGCACAGGTGAGGCGTAGAACGCGAGAGAAGGGATCAAAAAGGGAGACAACACACACACACGCACTCACAGAGCGCGTGTGTGTGTGCGTGCGCGCCTTTTTGGATCTTGCTGAGGGCGTTGGCCTGACTCTCGAGATCCTGCTGGAGTTCCCTGACGGCCGCCGGAGATGAAGCCATGGAGACAGAAACTGACTCGCTTTCGCCACCGGAAAAGAGTCGAGAGTCGAGAGGACCTCGGCGTAATAACACGGACGACGCTGGAGTCGCTCCTAGTGTTCCTCATGCTATAACTTTGAGATTCGTGAGACTAGCGATTTGTATATAAAGATCGGTATTCGAAGATTCGGCCCAATCCAAGGCCCAAAAGTGAAAAGAAAAGAAGAAAAAGACAAGAACAGCCCCATCACCTATTTATTTAACACCGGTCACATACCCAGTTCGACAAAAAAATTCCAATATTTTACTTACCATCAATGTAAATATGTTTCATATCATAAATTCATTAGGATGGTAACTCTTTTGCAAGTATGACTAACCTGAGATAAGAAAAAAAATTGTCATCCAATTACAGACAACCAAATGTTATACTGAAACCTTCTATTATTAAAATCAAGCATCATTTCTCTTAGTCACCACAGTACCCCCCAATGTACCAATATATAGCCAAAAGGGAAACTCACTTGCCTAAAGAACATAACATGGTGTATTTTCCAATTAAATTATGTCTTCACCTTGAACAATAACCATAAATCAAAAGCATCCGACTAGTAGTTGGGCATGAACATCTAAAAACAAAACAATTCCTAACAGGACAACTCTGAACATTTACAGAGGGCAATTTTGGCCTTAGAACCCTCCTTCAGCCGATACTTGGTGTATAAAGAGATTCGACGTTGGAACTCATGCTACATCTTTACAGAGCCTGCTACATCTTTACAGTGCCAGAAGTCGCATAAACCCTGCATCCAAAGTTGTTCATCTTGGGAATGCACAAGGTAGCATTTGAGTTTCTTCAAGCCCCAGTAACTCGAGGTTCCTCAAGCTTGTGTTCTCAAATTGTAATCAGTTGCTGGAGTTCTAGGCTGAATATTTTGACCAAATAATTGGAAGAGGATGGGCCTCAGTGTTGAATACGAATTTATCTAAAGGAACAACATTCTCGTCTCCAAACAACAAATATAGATACTTCAAGGTTTCACCTAAAAAGAATGTCTCCATTTTGTCTCGTCTAGGAGGAGGAATTAGTGTGACATCATCAAGAGATGTGTACCCACCAGAATCTACCTTCGTATATTTTTCAAAGGCCTCAAAGATCTGCCAACCCCATTCTCGGTATCTGTCAATGTCACAGATGTCAAAGCCATGTTTGAGACAAGAAGAAATATGAACTTAAAACATCTGAAAGCAAGTGACAACCCAAAACCTGTAAATCTTACTTCGGATCTTCGGTTACACGATGCAACACAAACAATGATTCCACTGTTTCAGGGCGCAAAAGATTGTGGCGATCATTGTGTTTGATTATTATGTCATCTATATACTCAGAGCTTTTGTTACCACCATCAAGACCCCCTTCAGAATCACCCTGATTCAAAAATAAACATTCAATCAACAAGATGCAGTTTCAGATGTACGGCAGGGCTAACTAAAACATGTGTGAGTATAATATATATATATATATATATATATATATACTACCTACTAATTAAC